ACATATATATATATATATATATATATATATATGTTGCTGATTAGTTTTATGTTATATTTATTTGAGAAGATGGTTTTATTTATTTTCTTTTATTTTAATTAATATTTTATAACAAAGGCGAAAGTGGCCGTCCAGGACAACCTGGTGAAACTGGTCCACAAGGTCCTCAAGGCAAAGATGGAATTCCGGGTGAGAAAGGAGCCACTGGAGCAATAGGACCCGTTGGTATGATCGGGTTTCCGGGTGCTCGAGGTCAACCTGGAACACCGGGTAATCCTGGTATCCCTGGCGCCAAAGGAGCACCTGTGCGCATAAATACCAACAAGAAATAATTCAAGAAACTGTAAAAGTTATTTTTTATAAAACCTTAATGATATCTTTACAGGGCCTTCCTGGTGATAGAGGTTTGAAAGGAGATACTGGAGTGAAAGGTGATGCAGGAATGCCTGGTCCGCGTGGACTTCCGGGATCTCCTGGGAATGAGGGCAAAAGAGGTAAAAGGGGTATGCAAGGGCCAATCGGCTCTGTAGGACCTCCTGGAGAACGCGGCGTATCTGGAGAACGTGGTTTTCCTGGATCAGATGGTCCCATCGGGCCTCAAGGTATTACTTATTGTATATTATATTACATCCCTGGCAAGACAAAAATTTTTACGAAAATTTTTACAGAAAAATTTAATCGAGACAAGATGTTAGAAATTTTTAGTTTTTCATAAATATTCTTAGAGGAACATAGAATGGCATTGTTTGGGGGCGGAAGATTTCTAAGTTTTTTCAAATAACATCACTTTAGATAGTGAAGATTCGTAGTCCTACTACGAATATCTATGAAAAACTAATAATTTCTTGTCTCAATCTATATATTTTTTCGTAAAAGTTTTTCCGCTAGGAATATATGTATCTACATATAAATATATACATATAAATATATACATATAAATATATACATAGAGAAAAAGCCCCTATTATGAGATGCCGAATTCACTTTGGATAAATGCTAGAAATCTATGGGAAAAATTTAAAAAAATAATAGATCTTTTAAAGGGAATTTAATAAGCTTTAGATAATGTTATGTAAAATTTAATTCAAATTCAATTTTTTTTATACATTAAAGAATTGCAAAAAGTGAGCAAATCGCAATGTCAAAAAATTATGCTCCTAATATGAGATGTTCCGAGAAATCGATAATAAAACGCAAAGTACATCAGTATTGCAATTAAAAAACTTTATTTAATGTTTCTAAAATAAACATAGCCAGTGCGCATACAAAATGAGTATGAGATGTATGACTATACCTAGCTGACTCGTCTTCAGGTAGGCTTCATTAAAATGAAGCATCGTAGAAACAGGCACTCGATGTTTATTTTCGATCGAGTGTCCTTTTTATTTTTGTACAATAACATTTATGTTTTAACAATTTTCGATTTTCACAGACATAGAAACAAAGGTTATTTTATATTAGAAATCTCTAAGTATCTCATATTACGATTTTCACGCCTTATGGTTTTACGATCATCAAACCTAATTTTTGTAATTAAGCAATTCAACATATCGCGTATTTTTCTATTAGTATGATCTTACTCTATCACCACATGAAGAATTTATTGCCAAATATTTATTTATTAAGTAATAAATAAGATTTTAAAGCTTATCTCAATGAAATTTGAAGACATCCAAATTCTAAAATCTTTTTTTGCAACGACTACAGATATGACTTAATAATGAGTTTTCCACTAAATAATTTTTAATCTAAAAACAATAAATTCATGATGGAATCAATAGATAGCGTTTATTGGTTTAGGGGAAATGCCATTATATCATATTAGGCGCCTATCTCATAATAAGGGGCTTTCCTCTCTCTTTATAC